GATATGGAGTCTGGCTCTGTTGCCCAGGCTGGAGTGCAGTGGCACAGTCTTGGCTCACTGCAACCTCTGCCTCCCGGATTCAAGCGATTCTCCTGTCTCAGCCTCTCAAGTAACTGGGTTTACAGCTGTCCACCACCACACCCAACTAAGTTTTTTTTATTTTCAGTAGAGATGGGGTTTCACCATGTTGGTCAGGCTGGTCTTGAACTCCGGTGATCCACCTGCCTCAGCCTCCCAAAGTGCTGGGATTACAGGCATGAGCCACCGCGCCTGGCCAAGGACCTGGGCCATTTAGTGGAATCCTGGAGGATGAATAGGAGTTAGCCAGGCTGAGAAGGAGAGAACAATGCTCTAGGCCCAGATGCACAGAGGCAGGCACAGCCACAGGCTGTTGGTTCAGACAAAAATTGAGACTGGCTGGAGAAAGTTCTCTGGGGGAACCATGCCCAGGGACGAGGCTCTGGAAGTTTGCAAGGTCCTGTCCTGCCCCTTCAGAGTTAGAAATTCATGAAGAGGTTGACTCTTTGTCCTGGAGGCCTCGGGGAAGCAGAGACCTCAGTGTTGGCTTGGTGTGGCCAACATGAGGCTTCTAAGCCTCCATTCAGCTCTGCTGGGAGATGGATTGGTGGAGAGAAGCAGGCGGTGGCAGAAGACAGGACAGGATGTGGGGACAGCTTTGGGAGCTGTGCTAGGCATGGACAAAGGACAACTCTTGCAGGGAATCACCCAGAGGGGTCTTGAACGGTGCTGAGGGCTCCCGATAACCCTCCTGTGATAGCCACTGTAGCTCTGCGGGTCCCTGGGCATTTGCTCTGCTGGCGCCCGCCTGCAGGAGTTCTGGCTAAAGGGGCATCCCACACCCCCACTCCCTCATCAGTGGCCCCTGAGGCCCATGGTCCCAGGACCCCCTCCCTGGCACTTCCGCTCCTGGGGGGAGGAGGCTGAGCAGGCAGAAAAGGGGACATGGCTCTCTAGGGGAGCCTCGAGCCCACGTCCAACCAGCGGCCCACTCAGTGAGGTGTTCCGGAACCCATGTCCCCCGCCAGCTGCGGGGGTGACCTCTCCTCCCTCTGTCCCTCCTCCCATCTGGGGAGCGCAGCGGGTACCGCAGGGGCGGACCGAGGCGGGGCCACCGAGCGGTTAAAGCTGGACCCGCAGGGGACTCACAGCTCGCCTCTAACCTCCTGCCTCCTGGGCTCCGGTACCCGGCGTCCCAACTCCGCTGCGCGCCCAAACCCAACCGAGCCGGTTAGTGGCCCGCCCCGCAGGGCGGCCGTCGACTCGAGCGCCCTGGCGCCGGGCCGGGGGGTGCGGGAGGCTCCCGCGAGCCGGCTGCGGCTGGCGCTGCCGCTCCTCCTGCTCCTGCTGCCGCTGCCCGCCAGCGCCTGGTACAAGCACGTGGCGAGTCCCCGCTATCACACGGTGGGCCGCGCCGCCGGCCTGCTCATGGGGCTGCGCCGCTCACCCTACCTGTGGCGCCGCGAGCTGCACCCGGCCGCCGAGACCCTGGCCAGGGACACCCTTTCCCCTGGGCCCGCCGCCCGCGGGGCTCCTCTCCTGCCGCCCTCCTGGGTTCAGGAGCTGTGGGAGGCGCAACGCAGAAGCTCCGAGGCAGGGATCCCCGTCCGTGCGCCCGGGAGCCCGCGCGCCCCGGAGCCTGCACGCGAACCTCAGTCCCTGGACTTCGGCGGAGCAGTCCAGGTACGTGAGAGGGGAGGAGGCCTGGACCAGCGCGGGCAAGGGGGTCTCGGGAGGTCTGAGTCAGAGCACCGAGCTGCTCGTTTAGAGGGCACCCTGGGGCCCTTTCATCCCCCGCTCTGCTCCCACAAAGACTTTCCTCGGACAGGCTCGACCCTGGCACCCGGGGGCGGCGGTGGAGGGCGCACGGCCCCCTCCCCACGGCCTTGCTCTGTTCTCGCTAGAGACTTCAGAGAGACGTCTCCCGCCCAGCCGTGGTCCCCGCAGCAAACCGCCTTGGCTGGCCCCGCCTGGCCCCCGAACCGTCCTGACAGCGTC